TGATTCACCCCCATTCATTTTTATGGCTTCGAACTCTATCGATTCCTGATTACTGTATATATTTTCATAGTGATTCTTTTGTTCTGTTGTTTTTGCAGTTAACTTATTTGTTGTTATATAAAATGTTATATAAAATTTCCCAGTGTTTGTCTTATCTTATTGCTTGCGCCGTTGTTTAGTGAGTTTTGACTCATCAAACAAACCCATTATCTTATGTTTCCTTTTCTTTTATAAATAATATCATTAACGTGTGCTGAAATTCAGGGCGTCCCCAATTACCTCAATATTTGGTGAGAAAATCTTTCTCCCTAGGCTGGAAGGTGTTATGATCCGGTTCGTTGTACCACGGTGATAGTCCAAGGTAGAACCAATAAAGAAGAACTCGAACACGGATATGGAATAACACAGATATATTACAAACAGGAATATATACAGAGAAGTAGAAAGTGTTAGTACGAACAATCAGGTTTAGTAGTAATTGTCTGAACGCGACTCTGTTTCGGACTGCCTCTGACTCGACTGACTGACTGACTCGCTCTGACTGACCGACAGACTCCTGACGGACTCCTGACGCACTTCACTCCAGACTTCGGACTGAACAGTATTTAGTCACCCCCCACCACGAGGGCGCATCATGTGGCACAAGTCCGGTTTAACGTGGGATCTCCGAGTCCGTGGGCTCGGCCAAAAATATGCCCTTTGAACCCGTATAAACGGGTTCAGGGTCGGTTTACCTCCCCGAAAGAGACTCCGCCCTTCGGCGTAGCCTCGTTCGGGTTCCTCCCCGCTCGAAGGCAGAGAGTTCAACCGATCAGCCGGTTAGCCGGTCGCCCGACTTCGGACTGAACAATCTGCTTCCTCTTGAGGCGCAGTATTTATTGCACATGGAATAGTCCATTATGTTATTATGGGTAAGGCGTGACAAGTTATATATATATATATGTTATTTAATTAATCTTCATATATATATATATATATATATATGAAAATTTTTCCGATTTAATCGGTAGAGAAGACAATATTTATGAATAAAAATGACAATAGGAAAACTAGTAATTGCTGACGCGTTTCGTCCAATGTGGACTTTATCAAAGCAAAATACGAAACGCGTCAGCAATTACCAGTTTTCCTATTGTCATTTTTATTCATAAATATATATAATATATATATATATGTGTGTGTGTGTGTGTGTGTGTGTGTGTGTATGTGTGTGTGTGTAAATTAAATTAAAAGAAATAGAAAAGCCTTAAGTTTCCATGTCTATAATTTATTTCCTCGGAAAAAATCTTTTTCCTGGTACATCATGTCACATAACTAGTTACAAAAGAATTAGGTTTCTTTTATTTTTAATACAATTTTTGAGGGATAGTTTTAAATTGATATAAGGTGATAGAGGTGGTGGGAGGATTAAATTGATATAAGGTGATAGAGGTGGTGGGAGGATTAAATTGATATAAGGTGATAGAGGTGGTGGGAGGATTATTGTAAGGTCCATATTGGAAATGTAAGTAGGGATAAGGTTGTTTTTAAACCATCTACAATTATTTAATTAGGTTCAAGTGTACTCAGTTAAGAGACTAGGCAATTATACCCCTTAAATAATTTCCAGACTGGAAAAGAAAAGAGGAAGAAAAGAAGACAAATAGTAAGAGGGAGGGAGAGCAAGAAGAAAGAAAGGGTTAAGCAGTGGGAGAGAAAAAGAAGGAAGAGGGAGTTATCATATATAGGTAACTTGAAATACACATAATTTGAAATGCACATCAATATAATTTATAGTTAATACATAAAGTATAAAAGATTACCAGCAAAGTAGGAATAAAATAAAATAAATTATATTAATAATATCATTAATAATATAACTTATCTTGATTAATACAATTGTAATGATTATAGGATAATATATTAAAGATTATTAAAAAAATTCTGAAAAGAAGAGTATAGAAAGTAATAATATTATTAATAAAAATAAAATTAAATTTTATAAATGGTAAATAAAGATATAAATCAAATATTAGGTATTTAATATTAATTTAATATTAGTAATCAGATTAATATATATATATATATATATATATATATATATATATATATATATATATATGGGTGTGGCCTGACGATTGCATATAGCATGAAACAGAGTGTCGCCTCTCAGTGTTGACTTCTATATTCACTTTTATATATTTACACGCTCTATCTCTGATATTGAGCACTTTATTCCATAAATATAGCATACCTTAAGACTATATTTCTTTATATATATATATATATATATATATATATATATATATATATATATATATATATATATATATATATATATATATATATATATAACTATACTCGTTTCGAAAAACCTTCGAATTTTTGATTTGCCAATAATCAAATCAATCGCGAAAGAAAAAAAATTTTAAAAAAAGAAAGAGCTAGAAACATGAAATTCTGTCGAAAAAAATCCTTTGAATACAGGTTTAAAACCCCCCCAAATAAAAAAACCGACACGAGTAAACAACTAACTAACTAAAAGAGCTCAATACAACCGCAGAGCAGACCTAGATAAACCTAGTGAGCCAGACAAACCTAGTGAGCCAGACAAACCTAGCCAGGTTTCACCTAAGCGGATCGTCTGGGAAAGCTGGCTAAAGAGGCAAAAGAGAAACAGCATATTTATAGGCGATAATCAAAATCATACTACGTGACCAAAGAAAAAGAAGAAAAAACACAAGAAAAAAACCACACCGGGGTGGGGGGTAAAGATTTATTCAAACGACTAAAAGGGGAGGGGATATTTAAAAAAACACGAACACTAAAGGTGGAATGACAATGCAAACGGGGAAATTAGACCTAATTCAATAAACAAGATTTTCTATGCCTCCATATGTTAAGAATCTCGGTTTTGGAGTTTAATAGATGGTTACATTGATTATATAAAGCTATGGATAATTTCTCCTCTGTACAGAGCTTACTAAATTTTTGGTCTGCTTTATATTTGGGACATTTTTTAATATTTCCCATTTAAGGCTGGGGTCTTTATTGTTTTCTTGTCTAGTTTTCCATACATACACAGGAGGTGGGGGAGAGAGATCAATTTTACTTTCCTTCGACCCATCTCTCTCCCCCACCTTCTCTTTCCCTTCCCCTCTCTCTTATTCTAGCATTAAATTGTCTATGGTGTATGTATGTCACCACGAAATGTATCTTTATGTATTAGACATCCGTCGACATTCATTCTCTTCTCTTATTTAAAACCCTTCCCCCTCCCCACATCTCCTAAAATTCTCTCTGTTAAGGTTCAATCTCCTTCCTCCTCATATTTACACTTTCTCTAAATTCTGTTTCCACTTCCGGAGTGGGTTTTTTCTGTTTTCATTTTGAATTTGTAGGTCTGATGAATTGGATCGTATTTACGATTCCAATGGAATAAATTATGACCATGGAGTATTAGTGTTTAAGCCTTTTTATTATATATATAAATATATATATATATATATATAACTTATTTGGGTACCTCAAGGTTGTGTAATGGTTGGCAAGCTTGTCTTGCTAAAACAATTACGTAGTGACTTCGATTCTCACTGGGTACCCTCTAATTTCGGCCTTGTGCCACATCTAAGCTACGCTTGGAGTATCGCTATACTGGGCACCTCGACGTGGTGTAATGGTTAGAAACCTTGTCTTGCGAGATCAATTACAACTGAGTAGTGAGTTCGATCCTTGGTAAAGTTCTACGCTTGGTAAATCACTATATATATATATATAACTTATACATATATAAGTCATATATATAACTTGTGTATATATATATATATATATATGTGTGTGTGTGATGCAAACCAAAATGGAAGGACTTTAGAAAAAATTATAAACAACAATGACGTATATATTTATAATGATAAAACTCCGATTTACATAAGTTTATTTACTGGCAGCTACTCTGCAGTAGATTTATCCATATGTGACCAATCAATCTATATGTATTTCTCTTGGAAGGTTCTGGCAAACACATGCGGTAGTGATCACTTGCCAAATGTTCTGCAAAATTCAGAACATAATGATAAAAATCTTCGCCGTTGTAAATTAAGCGGAGCGAACTGGGGCGAATTTAAAAAACAATGTTTTGATAAACTCGCTGAAGGTAAATGCATCAAGGACTTCAAACAGTTTAAGAAAATCCTTATATCTATGGCAAAGTAATGCATTCCAAAATGTTCAGTACGAAAAAAAAAATGAACAAAATAACCCCCCCAAAAACAACGGACCTTGATACAATGATGACTGTAAGGAAGCTGTCAAGCTCAAAAGAAAAGCTTTGAGAGATTTAAACAGACTTCAACCTCTAATTTATTACAATTTAAGCAACCTAGAGTTGCAAAATAATTAAAGGAAGCAAAAATGTTAATTCTACCACAAAAAGAAATCTGTATGGGATATGATAGGGAAAATAACTGATAAACATCATTCGATTGCTATAAAACATTTCTCGATAAATAACTGTAAAATAAACAGCAAAAAGGATATCGCTGATCAGTTAGCTAGACCAATCTCCAAAAGTTCAAGATGGTAGCCAATAATTTCTGAAGCTCAAATAAAAAGAGAAAAAAAAATCAAGCTTCAAATCAAATACAATTGGCTCTGATCTGGCATCTCGTCTGCAGTCGCTCTCTCACAGACATGCCGTCTCCTCTCTATGTCTTTTGTACAAATTCTTTCATGGTAATTGCTCCGATGAGGTGCTATCAAGGCTTCATGAATTCAAGCGCCCTACGAGGCTGACATCCCGCTCTCGCCCTTTCACTGTTGAAACTGTTAAATGTAGCCATCTCTTCTACTCCAATAGATTCATATCTCGCCCATCTCACCTGTGGAGCTCCCTTCCCTATTCCAGTTTCCCTGATAGCTATAATCTCCAACTATTCAAATGTAATGTCAATCGACATCTCCAGTTGCCTTGATCTATCCATTATCCTTCTTTTCATCCTTTCCTCTATCACTTATATCTGCTC